CCTTTGGGGGGCCTGCATCAAGGTGGCTGATGCCTCAAAACTGAAGAGCGTCCAAAACGCCAAGAGAAGATCCACAAAACCCCGAGGAACCGCTGTGAGCTGCACCAAAGCTCAGGCCATGCCCACAGCAAGCAGCAAGGAGAATTTCTGCAGGAACCTGGGAACATCAGCACTGGAAAGTCCCAGAAGAGGAGGGCAAACACAGGAGCACGGGCTAATCCTGTCACACCCACCACGGTGACAGCTCCAGCCAAGCCCTTGCTGCGGCCACTGGGCCAAGCTCCCACCATCAGAGCCTGGGAGCAATTTTTTTGGGTGGGGGTGTGGGTCAAAGCTGAGCTCCAGTGTCCCACTGGGGCCGTGCAGCAATCTCTGCCAGCCCAGGCAGAATCCCGAAGATAGGATGCTCCGTGGCAGAGATAACCGTGCTCCACGCTGGGCTGCCACCAGCCAGCTCAGAAAAGGAACAAATTGGCAGCATTCAGAGGAATATTCTTCATTTCCAAGCGTATCATTTCTGTCCTCTGGCAAAACACTCCCCCTGCCCACTCCCCCCACCCCCCCCCCACCCCCAGCTTTTTAGCAGCTTTTGCATTTCATTGTGTTGAATACAAGGTGGAAAAACGGGAGGGAAGAAACTGGGGACCAGTTTCCTTGGAGAACTGGGGGGATTGCAGCAGTGGAGAGGTGCTGCAGGGGCAGGACCAGGCTCTCCTGTGCGGCGTGGGGAGCAGCAAGGGTCTGCACCCAGGGCTAGAGAGGAGGGATGGGCCAGCAAGGATGGAGGAAGGGAAGCCACCGTCCCACCAGCCCTCATAGAGGGTGTCCTGGGGTCCAGCTTCGAGGATGGGCTTTCCTCCTTCAAAGCAGTGCCACCTCCCACTCCTCCCCAGTCCCACCTGGACCTGCTTCTCCCCAGAAGCTGGAGAAAAGTTTGAAGGATGGCAGCACAGGGAAGAAAAGAGAGGAAAAACCAGCAGCAGGTCTTCCCTGGGGAGGGAAACGAAGGTGGCTTCAAGATTTCAAAGCCAGTCTGTGTCCCTCGGTCACAGGCCAAGGAGGGGACACAGGCACCCACCCGTGGTCTCTGCTTCCATAAGTCCTTGCACACCCGCCGGATTATAGATGATGGAGGAGAGGAACGCCTTATAGCAATTAATTCCCAAAGTGTAATTAACATCTGGGCCAGCTCCATGTGATCCCCCAGCTGCTAATGAAGCATGGCACCGCTTTAATTCCTGCTACGCCGCACCATCTTCTTATTAAATCCAGGAGTAGGTTCCATCACATTTCCCTTAAAGGGAAAAAGGAAAGAGAGAGAGAGAGCGAGAGAAATGGAGCAGGATTTGTCTCAATGAAATATGATAGATTAGAGTTTGCCGGATAAAGGAAGTCGGAGTGGGGGGAGGGCACGAAATGGGAAATTTGGTAGGTGTGTGCGTGCGGGCATCGGTGTATTCTCTCTCGCAATGACCTCCTTACGCCCCATCCATCAGCCTGGGGTTGGCTTATTCTAACTAGCAGAGTCTTTTTCTGGCGTCTAACGGGCCCATCAGACACAATCTGCATGCCAATTACCGCGGCAGACCCCCTGATACTGAGGGATGGAAATTAGCTGTCAAGCGGAACGGGGCAGGGTTTGGATTGCCTTGCGCTCCCCGCTCCCTCCCGTCCACAGTGGCCAGGGAGCCCCCGATGGAAAAAAAAGTCATCTCGACTAATAATAAAATAAAAAAACCCCATAATAACAATTTAAAAAAAGCACCAAACCCCGCACCCAACTAGCACGTTTTATTATTATGCGCCTTGTGTTGCCAACGATCAGGGCACAATGCAAAATTCAGCAGAGGGCGAGAGGCAGCCGGAGGAGGAGGAGGAGGAGGGGGGAAGAGTTGGGATAATTGCATTTTTGTGGAGGTGGAAGGGAAGGAAAGGAGACATCTAGTCCCTCCCAGGCTCTGGGGTGGATGTACACTGGGAGCCATGGGGCTGCAGCACCCCAAATTTTCCCCCCCACTGCAGCTCCGGCCCCTCTCTGCAGGGTGGGACACATCCCACCACCAGGGATGGAGGATGGAGAAGTGCATCGCCCTGGCAGATGTTCCCCAAAATCAGGGTGGCGGAGGGCTGGAAACCCACCAGCTGGAGCACACCTCCCCGCGGGAGATTTTCCTTCCAAAACAGGGACAGCAACAGGCTCCCTGCAAAAATTGAGGGGGGGGCAGGTCACGCTGGAGCCAGCTCCTTGCTGGCTGACAGCCCTTGGAGAACTTTGCCAGGTGCCAGGGGGGAAAAGAGAGCTGGATCCGGGTGCTGGGAGGGCTGGTCGGTCCTGGAAAAATATTTTTTGGGGAAGAAAATGCACCGAGACCCAACCGTAACGCCAAAATGTCCACATCCTGCTGACCTGTGGTGGAGGAGAGAGGACCAAAGCTGGCCAAGAAGAGACATCACCCTTTGCAGCAAAGGGCTGAAACAGGGAAAGGGGCTAAGGTTGAGGGGGGGCTGACCTGTGGTGGAGGAGAGAGGACCAAAGCTGGCCAAGAAGAGACATCACCCTTTGCAGCAAAGGGGGCTAAGGTTGGGGGGGGATGAGGGGGAGCTGAACTGCAGGGATATGGCAGGAGGAGGAGGAGGAGGAGGAAGGCAACTCTCTTCAGCCCACCTTTGTGCCAGGGGAAGCCCGTGGGGCCGGGAGCTGCCCCACTCAGCAGCCCCTTCCCACTCCCCACCGGCGGCCGCCTTCCCCGGGGGGGGGTCAAAGCTTTGACAAGCATCACTTAACCCCCCTCCCTGCTCCCTAATAACCTCATACATCAAGCGGGAAGGGACGGCGGAGTGTGGCTGGAAGGGCTCCGCTTCCACATCCAGCGTCATTATCCCCAGGCCCCCCCGGGGCTCCACATGCAAACGGGCTGGGGGTCCCCGGGGTGCCCGGGGGGAGGAGAGTGCCCTGCGTGGCCAACATCAGTTATTCCCGAGCCCGGCCACGGCGTGGGCACAGCCTGACATCTAGTGGCACTGGGCAAAATGGGGTGCTCCAGCTGGCGGCAAATTGGGCTGACTGGGAGGTCCCCACTGGGCTGACTGGGAGGTCCCCCACTTCGCCTCTTCCCACCCCTTCAGGATCCTTCAGCAGCAACCTCCCACCCCGGGGCACCTTTCGGAGGTTCTCACCAACCTCTGTCCACGTCCAGCCTCTTCTTCCCCTTCCAGCTGCCCCATTTTAAGCAGTCTGACTCCTACGAGGGGCATCACGCTGGTCCTCAGCATCCCCCCCCTGCCTCCACCATGGAGATTGGGGCCACCTCCCTCCTGCCCACCCTGGGACCCCTGTCAGGATCCTTCAGCAGCAACCTCCCACCCCAGGGCACCTTTCAGAGGTTCTCACCAACCTCTGTCCACATCCAGCCTCTTCTTCTCCTTCCAGCTGCCCCATTTTAAGCAGCCAGACCCCCCCAGCAACAGGACATCTCTGCTGCCTGCTCAGCCTCCCCAGGAGGAGGGTCTCCATGCACGTAGCGAGATTGGGGCCACCTCCCTCCTGCCCACTCTGGGATCAGGATCCTTCAGCAGCAACCTCCCACCCCGGGGCACCTTTCGGAGGTTCTCACCAACCTCTGTCCACGTCCAGCCTCTTCTTCCCCTTCCAGCTGCCCCATTTTAAGCACAGGATCCTTCAGCAGCAACCTCCCACCCCAGGGCACCTTTCAGAGGTTCTCACCAACCTCTGTCCACATCCAGCCTCTTCTTCTCCTTCCAGCTGCCCCATTTTAAGCAGCCAGACCCCCCGTCTGACTCCTACGAGGGGCATCACGCTGGTCCTCAGCATCCCCCCCCTGCCTCCACCATGGAGATTGGGGCCACCTCCCTCCTGCCCACTCTGGGACCTTTCATCTCCACTTTCCTCCCAGTCCCGTTGCCCCCCACGCATCCCCAGAGGGACATGCTCCTCCAGCAACAGGACATCTCTGCTGCCTGCTCAGGCTCCCCAGGAGGGTCTCCATGCACATGGCACGGGTGGAAACCTCATCCCTTCTCCCCAGCCCACCAGCAGCCCCTTCTCCCGAGCTGCCAGAGAGCAGCAACGTGGCAAGAGGGGACTCCCCCCGTGTTAGGAGGGACTGAGCCACCCACCACTGGAGTCCTGGGGATGGGTGGTCCACTCCTCCACAGGACTGGCCAAACACGGGAGCACACCCTCCGTCTTGGGGACGGGTCTTTCTTGGAGAGGAGCAGTGGGATGGAAGGGAGGGGATGGGGCCAGCCAGGAGGAAGGAGACAGCAAAGAGGGAGGCAAGAGGGACTGGAAGAGGGCGTTGTGCTTGGAGGAGGCTCAGCTCTACCACCAGCTCTGCCAGGGCAGGGTGACGTGGGCCAGTAGAATGACCAGGGAGTGAGGAGGCTCAGCTCTACCACCAGCTCTGCCGGGGCAGGGTGACGTGGGCCAGTAAAATGATCAGGGGGTTGGAGCCCCCTCTGCTATGAGGACAGGCTGAGGGAGCTGGGGTTGTTCAGCCTGGAGAAGAGGAGGCTCCAGGGAGAGATAATAGCGGCCTTCCAGTACCTGAGGGGGCTACAGGAAGGCTGGGGAGAGCCTGTTTACAAAGGCCTGTAGTGACAGGACGAGGGGCAATGGCTTCAAGCTGGAGGGGAACAGATTTAGACTGGAGATGAGGAGAGGGTTCTTCACTGTGAGGGTGGTGGAGCACTGGAACAGGTTGCCCAGGGAGGTGGTTGAGGCCCCATCCCTGGAGATATTCAAGGAGAGGCTCGACGAGGCCCTGGGCAACCTGGTCTAGTTGGGGGTGTCCCTGCTGACTGCGGGGGGGTCGGACTAGATGGCCTTTGGAGGTCCCTTCTGGGCTGGACCATTGTATGATTCCATGATTTTATGACTCGCACGCGAACCCCAGGAATAAAAGGCAGGACAGGGGGAGCTGAGCGACTCTCAGTTGGCTTTATTGGTGGCCTCCGGGCCCCCCAGTCCCCGGGCTGCCTCACTGGGCGATGCTGCGGAAGGACTGGACGGCGGGGCTGGAGGCCCCCCACTCCACGGGCTTGCGGTACTCCCCCTTGGGCAGCAGGTACTGCCTGCCACGGTAGTTGGGGTGCTCGTAGAAAACCCAGGTGCCCTCCAGCACCCGGCAGGCGTGGACCTCCCGCATGTGCCACTCATCCATGACGGAAGGGCAGTCTTCGGTGGCCTCGAACATCTGCCCGCCAAAATCTCCCTTCTCAAATACCTGGATGTGGCCCCGGCCTCCACTTGGCTGGAAGGGAGAGAAAAGGGGTTGGAAGGAGGCACCAAGACACCCCTGGCTGTGACCAGGGAGTAGCACCGAGGCAGGGCCTACGCTGGGAGCGGGCACAAACCAGCAGGGCAGGGCTGAAGCCCCCAAAAAGCCCCCAAAAAGCACCACTGGGGCAACTCCTGTCTGAACATCACGTGCAAAACCAGCATGAAAGCACCCAGCTGGAGCAGAGCACCTCCAGCCCAAACCACAGCCCCAGTTTGGTGGGGAGGAAGGGTGCAGGGAGGGAGATGAGACCAGCCCAGTGGGCACTGGGCACTCTCCCCCCCCAGGCAGCCTTCCTTCCCATCCCAACGCTGGCTCGAAAATCCTTCTGCCACCCCACGTGAGCATCAGGAGGAGAGATGGACCACCCCCCCCTGCTTTGCTCCTCCGGGCAACGAGGAGTTTAATGAGCTGGTGACCCCAGCTGGGTTGTATTACAGGCAGACACAGCCCGGGTGGTTTTCCACTGTGATTTGAAGCGCCGCGTTGCCTGCGGGCGCTTTGCGGCACTTTTAATCTGCAGCTGCCCGGGCACCATCTCCCCCCCACATCCCACCCCACCTCCCCGAGTCCCCCTCTCCTTTCCAGCCCCATCCCAGCTCCGCAGGGTCCCATGGATCCGTGGCAGCTTCTCCGGGGCACCCTGACCTGGAATTCCCCCTGGAAGCCCCCCCCAAGGGCAGGAGGGGAAGGCAGGCACCGGGTGGACGTGCAGGATAAAGCCATCCCCATGGAGAACGCTGCGTTGCTGCTGGATCTCCCACATATTTTGGCTCCATCCCTTACGCCAGCTCAGTGTCTTGAACTGGGCTGGAAACTCTCCCTGCCCCATCCAAAGACCTGGCAGGCCCAGAACAGCCTCAAAAGGGGGTGTTAAGACCTCCAGGTGTAAAAGCAAGACCTCCCCTCGGCTCTGAGATCTGCTCCAGGCAGTGGGAGACCACAATCGTGCTCCTCTACTGGACTCAGCGACCCACAGATCGATCCCCCCACCGTCTGCCCCACTGCTGGCAAAGACACAGCAGCAGCATTTATCTCAGCCCCAACCCACACACCCAGATTTAAAGGGTGCTGCTCCCCACAGGCTTCCCAAGGGGATCATTTCTCCCCCCCAGGCACTTCCACACCGCCCCCCGTCAACCTACATTCATCCCATCTCCTGCTGGTGGAAGGAGAGGTGCTGTGGAGGCTGCAGAAGCATCTCCCCACCCTCAGTGAGGAGGGGATGAGCACAGTTTCCACACTGCAGCGGGGAGACACGCATTGCCCTGTGCTCTCCTAAGACCAGGAGACACCGGGGCTGCTCCAAGCATCCCCAAGGAGAGCTTCAGGCATCTCCTCCCACTCCTGGTCACTCCAGGTCTGCTCCCGGGGCTGTTCTCCCCATGCCCAGAGGGGCTTGGTGATACTGAGATTCGGTTCCCCGTGTCAGAAGGGAGCCCTGCCTTGCTAGAGGGGCTCTAGGTGCCCCTGCAAAATCTACATCCCCATTGTGGCCACCATCAGATTTGGAATCAGTTGGGAGCATGTGAGTGGGAAAGGCAAGAGGCAAACCTTGGAGCGACCTGCCCAGACACCAAAGTCCTTGGAGGAACAAGCAGATACGGAAACTCACCTACAAAGCTCTCAAAAGGGATTTGCTTCTTCCCGTTGCAATCAAGGGTGGAAGAGATTTACCTTCTCCACTCACCAAACACCTTGATGTTCCTGGAGCCATCCCTTCTAAAGGAGCTCTCATGAGTCCCCTGGAAGATGAGGGCCACCCACAAACAGGCTGAAACCCTTTAATGATAGGTCTGTAAATTAAAACGTCCCTTGGGGAAGAGGTGACACTTACTATCTGGACGGCTTTGCAGGAGCCAAGGCGGTCGTTGAGGCCCATCCAGTGGTGGTAGTCGGGATACTCGCCACGCGTCAGAACATACATGTTCCCGGAGAAGTTGGGTCTCTCGTAGGCCACCCAGGTGCCTCCATCCACGCGAATGGAGTTGCAGCGGCTCAGGTAGGTGTGAAAATCGGGGCAGTCGCTGTTGCACTCGTAGTAACGGCCTAGGAAATTCTTGTCTTCATAGAAGGTGACCTGAAACACAAGCAGAGAAAGGAAAGGAGGGAGGTTCCTCATCCTCCAGCACATGCTTTCATCCATACTCTGGCCACAACACGGCGTGAAATACCTGAAAAAAAAAAGTGTCCTCGAGATGTCAAAAAAGTCTTCAAGCCCAACCACCAAGCAGGATCAACTGCATCTCAACTAACCCTGGCAGCCACTTCACCAGTCTGGCCCCAACCTTGTCCTTTCCAGCACCTACTTCTGTCCCAATCCAACCCAAAGTTCCCTTGGTGAAGTCCCCATCCTCTTTGCAGCGAAACACTATTAATACATTTCCCTCCCACCTTCTCTACATCAGTAGTTACTCAATTATGGCCAGGGGAGACATAAGGAGTCAATGGGCTGTGCTAAGCAGCATTTAATTTATGTTGGCTTGTGGAATTCTTGCAGTTAGACCTTTACTGAGACGGGGCTGGTGAGGTCTCTCTCCTCCTGGGCCATGTCTTCTGGCCCTGAGATCGTTCTCCTTGCCCCAACTCTACCAGGTCCACATCTTCTAGCCCTGAGATCATTCTCCTTGCCCCAACTCTACCAGGTCCACAGTTTGCTCTCTCAACAGTCAACGCCAAAAGCTGGGCACCACGTGAGCTTTATTAGGGCCAAGAAAAACCCAGCCCCATTTATTAGATGCTTCCAGAAGACAAGTATTCATTGAGAGCTGCTCTTTGCAATAAGGATTCCTGAGCCATCATGTCTATGTTGACTGCACCCCTTGCTTGCTTACAGTACTGGGCAGTCAGACCACACCAAAAAATTACATTAGTTTGATGTGAATTGGTGTCAGCAGATCCCTACGGCTGCACCCAACCACCAGCCCATCTTCCACCTCAACATTTGATGACTTACTCCAGCATCTTCTAGAGCCTGGCATGGAACCCACCACACATGTCCAAGTTGGTTGATCCAATGTAGTGCACACTCACGACAACATTTTCACCTTTTCCAGCTTTCCAGCACGGCATCAGCCCCATACCTGCTGCTGGGTTATTTAGTAGCATCTGAGATCACCTCAGCCAAAATCCTGAGAATTTTTCTGGCCTCAGTGATTTAAATCTCTAACACCCATCATCTCCGTAATCCAGTTTTCCCATAGTTTTTTTCCAAAGCTTGAGTATCAAGATACACTGTCCCCTTTTGCTCCTAGCACCTGCGGTGTTCTGGCTACTGGTATTGATCTAACACCAGCGATGTTCAAAGATGATGTTCATCGTCACAATTTCAACCCAGGAGACAGATTCAAACTTGGGACAATCCGCTTGCTTTTCTTCCCATTCACTTTTTGTTTTAAAAAAAAAAAAAAAAAAAGAGAGAGTTAGTCGTGGTTTTCCTAGAGCTGGTTGGTCAGTGTGTCCCACCAGCCTCACCAGGCACACTTGGAAGTTGGGACTAATCACGCCAGATGATTTATGTCCTTGGTCTTGTTGCCTGTTAATAGATTTTTATTAGGATAATGTTATTTTTCCTCTTACTTTCAAGGGACTCTCCCATTATGAAGCCGTCCGTCGGCACGCACAAAGCAACCTGGCCCCACCTCCCTCCCTCCTGGACGAGCTCTTCCCATCTCCAGTGGGGAAGATGGGGAGCTGGGAGATCACCACCATCTTTCCAGCAAGAGAATAAAAGTTGTAAGAGCTCACTAAAATGTCCAATTCCTTTCCCCACCACTGCTACTGTAGGGTATTTACCCACGCTGGTCTGCCCTTGCCAGCCACAGCCCCGCTGCTGTTCCACAGCTCCTGCCTGTGGATCTTCATCCCGAGAGGGATCGCCTGGAAAATACGCTGCTCCATCACACAGCTCTGCCTGAAGCTGGTTAAACTGGCCTTCAGGTTTGTAAGAGAAAAGAAAAAGCTCATTTGGTGTTCCTTCCCCACCCAGCCTGACGCAACTGAACCCCCAGTTTGGCAAAGCTGCCCCGTGTTCCTCAGAGGGTGTTTTCTCTGCATGTTCAGAGACACAAAACCAGAGAAACCCCAGAGCACACCAAGGGTCCGGCCGTTCCCTCAGAACAGTGACCATCCCAAAGCATTCAGTGCTTTATTCCGAGACCATTTATAGGAAGACTTTAGGAGAGGGCTCCTGTCCACCTGTTCTCCATTCTCACACAACCCTCAAGCCGTTTCAGACCTTCCCACTCGGCACATCTCAGGTCCCCTCTAACAATTCAGGCACAAACACCCCAGACTGATGTTTTCCACCCATCGCAGGATAACGACAGGTGAATTAGAGATTCCAATTCCAGGTCATCGGTTCATTTCACTCCCATCACTTAACCTGGTCACTACCCAAACTTTGCTTTTTTGGGGGGCTTTACCCAGCAGATGGAAGACGTGCTATGGCAAATCTGGTTTATGGGACCATAAAACTCCTACTCCTCTGGCCACCTCGGAGCAGCGAACCCGTTTCTTGCCAAGGGCAGCTCTGTCAGAAGGAAACTCACCAACAACACCTGAAAGCAGTAACCAGAAAGTGCTACTTTCTAAGCAAGTAGCCTGGGGGCAGCCACCCCTTTCTAGGGCTTGCTTCGGTGGGGAAAAAATAAGTATTCAATTCTCTCCTTTGCCCTTTTCTTCTCCCCGGAATGCGGAGAGCGAGATGAGGTTTGCTCTCGGTCGCTACCTCAACTCCTCTTGGACACTTGGCAGCACATAATCAACAAATTCCCTGCTAACAAGGAGGCAGGTTTCAGCAGGGGGGAAGGCACTGTGTTTTTTAAGTCCCTTTAAGTGGACTCGAGGAGACTGGAGCATGAATCAATCGCATCTCCCCAGCACGGGTACATCCCCACCCAACTGCTGCGGCCCCAGAGGTGAGGAGGAAGCCACACACCACCCTCCGCTCCTTAAAAAACAGCCAAAGAAAGCACTTCCAGCCCGGGTCACAGCCAAAAAGCACCAAGAAGCGGGGACTGAACCCCAATCTCCCACAGCACCAGCCAGCACCTCCAAAACCTCTCTGCTTTCCACCTCTCTGCACCCCCTTGGGGTCCTACAGCCTCCACAGCTTCGGAGGAACGTGACCCAAAAGCAAGACTAATACCGTGGAAAGATGTAGGTCTGTCCACAGCCTCCCAACAGTTGTTTAACATCTCCCAGGAGGAAGTGGCCACTAGCCCAATGTTCTCACCTTCCTTTCCCAGCTGTTTATCCCTGCCCAGTCCCAACCCTGCAGCACCACCAGCCAGCTCAGCTGGGCTAACTCCGGGACCGAAGACCTAGATGAGGGCTAGAGCTGGGTCCCCCCATCTGGAACATGGTCAACTCCAGCTGGAGTTGGGTTTTCTGATCTACCTCCTCCTCCAGTTTAAATTCATCTCTGCTGATTCCACCACATCACACGGCTGGTTCGCATCTCTCAGGGAACGCTATTGCCTTTGGAGCTCCGGCCATCATCCAGGAGTCTTTCCTTTGCTCCACCATGGAAGGGGGACGTGGTGGCCGCCGTGTGGACATTGGGGCTCAGCTCCCCCCCCAAGGCAGCCTTCCACGAGACCCGGGCTCTGCAAACGCAGCTCGTCGCGTTGGCTGCTGGCACAGCAGCCTCCACCACACAATTTACACCTGGTGTGTTTTAAAACACCAGTTACCGTGTTCCACTCCGTCCTCTCACACAGCCAGACCTAGAGGGAACAGCCAAGACCTGGGAAAAGACTAGGGAGGGCTCAGCTCCAGCTTCCCTCCATCTGGGGAAGGATTCCAAGCACCTCTTCTTGCCGACAGACCGACAGAGGGAGAAGCTGTCAGCAGAAGAAACCAAACCCTTCTCCGCAACTTACCCTTGAGAAGTTCTGTACTCCTCACCACAATCATGTGTAGGCTGCAAATTAAACTTACCTTGGTTCCAGCTCTGGACATTTTCTGTTCCAGCCAAGCTCCCCGGTGCTGGAGGAACGTCAGAAGCTGTTACAAACGGCCAGGATCCCAGGCTCCCCTTTTATAACGGGCTGGTTTTAAACCAGACAGCCGCTTTGTCATGAGAATAGGATCCAAAAATTGAGTCAGTGATTCTGAGGCTATAGACGGTTTCCAGAAAAGCAAACAGGATTATGGAATAAAGGAAGGCTTCGCCATCCTCCCTTTGTTACAATTTGCTGAGTCAGAACACCAAAACTCTGCCAAACGCACTCAAAACACGCAGCCCCCTGCCAAGTCCTGGAGGACGGGGGGCGGTTTGGCTGCTCCCTCCTTTTTCAAGCACGTTCAACAAGAAGGCATCCTCCTCAGCTCTAAAAAGCCCATCCCCATCTGTAAGGGAGAGACCCCATATTTTAATGTGAGAAGGGTTAGGAAAAGGTGAGCACGTGCCCAGGGCAGACACCACGGGGAGAACAGCCTCTGTGCAGAGGTTCTGCTCCAGATGTTCCCAATGGAAACATCTGCATGGCATTTTCATAGCACACCCTCAGCTCGAGCTGTATCGCTCCAAACGGCGCCCGACATCGAGGAAAAAAAGGAGGTCTGGCCAGACACCCCCAAAAGTCAGTGATTTCACACATTAAAGAGTAGAGAACAGCGCCCAGATTTCTAACAAAATCTGCCAGCGTCACAAATTCAACTCAAAACTCTTACACCACCATCTGCGCTTTGAGCAAAAATATTTCTTTTAGCCACACTCCGGCCCACTGAGCAGGGAGGGGGAGGATTTCTGGCTTATGTACACCCCCCAAACCCCCCCCCCGCCAGCCCATTATGAAAAAACACCTCTGCAGCTATTCACTGCACCAGCCCCAAGGCTTAGCGAGACAAAGGGAAGCGAATTTGGCACAGCAGGGCCTGGAACACACAGCCCCTATTCTCAAATCTGTCAGGACAAGCAGTCTGGCAGCCACGGCTCTGCCTGCCACCCCCTGTGCACTGCCACAGCTCCACAAAACCCCCTCAGACAGAATCATAGAGTCACTGAGGTTGGAAGAGACCCTTGGGATCATCGAGTCCAACCATCTCCCCTACTCTACAAAGTCCTCCCCTACACCATGTCCCTCAGTACCCCATCTAAACGGCCCTTAAACACAGCCAGGGATGGGGACTCCACCCCCTCCCTGGGCAGCCTGTTCCAATGCCCGACCACTCTTTCAGTGAAAAATTCACAGAATCACAGAATCTTCTAGGTTGGAAGGGACCTTAAAGATCATCTTGTCCAACC